GGGGGCAATGTTTAATGGTAGAAATCGTCAAAAACTAACTTTCATCATGCAAGAACTCCATAGGAACCCTCTCTTAAGCTTTCTTTCTCGTTTTGAAAGTGAAAAGAAATGTTTTCATGGCTTAAAACGTTGAGTAAGCCGACATACCACTTTTTTTTTATCCGACCCGGATTCTTCCTCGACAGTCCGTAGTAAAACCCTCATAACTTTTTACTCCGATGTCAGTTGGATACGGGGTTTTGTGTGTTGTAAACTAGACTAGTAGGCCTTCGATTTAATGGGTGATACGCCTTCTAAATCCTTATATATTGGGAGAAAACATCCAAGACATTTGACCCAAATTTCAGAGAGATCTTTAAAAAGAAACTTACGATAACTTTCGCCAACTTTTATTTTGCCACTTACCTAACTTCAAAACTTGAGATACAACCTTTGAACACTTAAAATATGACATATCACATTATTCTTAATTTATTACCCTCCCTCCTTGTCTTTCCATGAAGATTCGAGTTAATTTAGAGGTTTTGAAAAGTCGGGGTGTTACATCCTTCCACCCTTAGAAACATTCGCCCTCGAATGAAAAAATCTAAGTCACGCGGTTAAGTCCTTAGGAGTTTCAAAAATTTAGGCAGAATATCCTTTGTAAATGTGACTATCCAGGAACATGAAACGCATAAATTCTAACATAGGCGTGTCACAGGATGACATAAATAGCTAGGCACTATAGCTCCACTATAACAGTGCGAGCATATATACAACGACAATAACAATAATAATAAGCAACAATATAAAAATAAAACAGATTGGTATCTAACCTCACTGCACTAATACACACTGATATGCCATCACCCTGGGGTATGAAACAAGTGAGGATATTTGGACTTCATGCCATCCTCAGCTGCCCAGGTCACCTCTTCTCCATTCTTGTTTCTCCACAATACTTTAACCGAAGCCACCTCTTTGGTCCTCAATTTACGGACCTTCTGATCTAATATGGCAATTGGAGTTTTCTCGTAGGACAACTCCTCTGTGATATGAACATCCTCAACGGGGACAACCCGAGAAGGGTCCCCTACGCACTTCCGTAGCTTCGATACATGGAAAACTAGATGAACAGATTCTAGCCCCTAAGGCAATTCTAACTCATAAGCCACCCGTCCTACCTTCCGAAGGATCCGATATGGCCCAATGAATATTGGACTAAGCTTGCCTTTTTTGCCAAATCTCATAACACCCTTCATAGGCGAGACTTTTAAGAATACCCAGTCATCAACACAAAACTCTAAGTCCCTTCGTCGCATATCTGAGTATGACTTATGTCGGCTTTGAGCTGTTAGCAACCTCTCCCAAATGAGCTTAACCTGCTCCACTATCTGATGT